CCCCCCCCCCCCGGCTGGACCGATTTTCCCAAGCCCGTTGGTTGTCTTGCCTGTGCGCAGCGGAAATGACGGTTCCGAAAGAACCGGCGGAAGGCGTATCAATTGCCGAAAAATGATCATCATTTGATTCTGGAACCCCCTTTGTGGTGGAGTATACGAACTTTGAAAATCGGTCCAACGGGGTGTGGTGTATTCTACAACCTTGTACGGTATGTCCGAGATCAAACTGGTAAAATTCGTCCTGTGTCAGCTCTCCAGCCACCAGGCCAGCTTGACCCCCACGTGCTCCATCACAGAGGGTGACGTTTACGAGATGGGGTGACGAAATATACAAAAATTAAAACGTGCATGAGCCTTGGATTTGTGAGGCGGGGACGTGTTGTGCGGTACGTCCCGTGGACGTTCCCGTGGACACCGTGAACCGGGGTCTGTGTGGTGTGGATTTTGTGCCTGGGTTCCTGTGGGATACGCCAGCAAGCGCCGCCTTGTGTGTTTGCGTCTAGGTTATAGCTCTGGCAGATCGAATCACGCAGCAGTGCTTGCGTGTCGCTGTTGGCCTGCTTTGCACACCGAAGTAAAGCCGGAGCAGCACGGCTAGTTGTATGTGTGTTGTGTCTTTTGTGTTTTCTTTGGAAGAACCAAGGAGGTATATATTTGGTTCTCTCCCCTGCGACATTAAATGGTTGGGTAGAGCAACGTTGTCACGGCTTTGGTACGGTTGAATTTCCATGTACGCCGTCTCAGTTAAGCAGCAGCTGGTGCGCACGACTGTGCCATGACTGCAAGTATAGTATTGCCCGCGTTCCGTCCTAATGTTTGTTGGCGGGCTCCGTCAAGTATTATGTCTACCGCCTTGCAACTCGGCCTGGTCTCGATTTGGTGTGTTGATCGCGATGGGCAAGCACCGAAGTTTCTGCCACGGTCCTACTCCTGTCTTGTGATACCTCTTTTGCGTGTTTTTTGCCTTCTATTGGTCGTTCGGTTTGTGTAGGAACGAGAAAACGGCGCGCTCCCATGCTCTTCATCTCCAAGCTACCTCCCTCCCGTGGCTGTGGCTGGTTTTTGTGTGCTCTCTTTTCCATTCGGTCCGACTTTTATTATTTTGGCACAGGCGCCCAGACATAATACCCACGCGTAGCTGTTACTCCCCAAGGCTGGCTGCCGTTGTTATCTGTTGTGTGTTTTCTATCCATTCCGATGTCGTTGTGTTGTTGGTTGTGTTTTGTCACGGAAGCGCCAACGGGGCGCGCTCATTCAACTCCTTGCTCCCCACAAAAAAAACTTGAGGGCTATGTTTGTTTTCTGTCCATTTTAATTTGGGAATACGACACAGCAGGGTATACCCTGGTCGAAAAGCGACACACCTGGGTACACAAGTCATTAACAGCAGTAAATGCACTCATATCATTGGTCAGCGCCCAATTTCACCCCGTTGTGTCCGAAAAGGCGTAGGGTATACCCTGCCGTGACTACTTTTCTCAATGACTACACCCTGTTTTCGGAAATGTACCCTGATCTGTCGGGAAATCGGACCCTTTCATCAATCATTTCCCCCACAGGAATCTTCCCAACTCTTTTTCCCCTCCAACCATGGGATACCAAACGGCGACTCTTCCCGCCCAATAACAACCATGGCAACGGGGCAGGAATCAGTTTCCGCCCCTGCGAAACAACACCAACCGTCAACTCTTCCGCTCTAAGTCAACAATGGCCGGGCAACACGTATTCCAGCACAATTGTTCCGTTTGGAAACATGCACACGCGCGTACGATACCCCGTGGAGCGACTGCTTGCTGCAGTCTAGACTATAGGCGAGACGCATGGGTCACGCTGTGAAAGCGAGACCGATCCAGCATGGTTGACATGAATATGCATGTGTGCGTGCGTGTGTTGTCTGCTGTGTCTCAATTGCGATGTGCCGTGTGTGCGTGCGTGCGTTGTCTGTTGTGTCTCAATCGCGATGTGTTTCTTGCCTGAACTGCTGCTGTAGCGGCAGCGGTCACGCTTACCAGCCGACCAAGCCGACCAATCAAGGTAGTAAGTAAACGTCAGGCTTCAGCGGGACGAGGCGATGATATACAACGCGAGCACTCTCTCTTCTCCCTATCGACAGGAAGGGTGATCGAGTTGCACGACACAGCAGTGTCCTGCTGCTAGAGTAAGGATAAGACTTGTGTGTGCTTGATTGATGACAAGGGCGAGAGTCTGTGTGTGCTGGTCCTGCGTCTCCCCTCCACCCTCGTTGCGGGCGCGAGCTCGCCGCCAGCACAGCGCCACACACTGTCAACACCGTATGCATGTCAACCATGCTGGATCGGTCTCGCTTTCACAGCGTGACCCATGCGTCTCGCCTATAGTCTAGACTGCAGCAAGCAGTCGCTCCACGGGGTATCGTACGCGCGTGTGCATGTTTCCAAACGGAACAATTGTGCTGGAATACGTGTTGCCCGGCCATTGTTGACTTAGAGCGGAAGAGTTGACGGTTGGTGTCGTTTCGCAGGGGCGGAAACTGATTCCTGCCCCGTTGCCATGGTTGTTATTGGGCGGGAAGAGTCGCCGTTTGGTATCTCATGGTTGGAGGGGAAAAAGAGTTGGGAAGATTCCTGTGGGGGAAATGATTGATGAAAGGGTCCAATTTCCCGACAGATCAGGGTACATTTCCGAAAACAGGGTACAGTTATTGAGAAAAGTAGTCACGGCAGGGTATACCCTCCGCCTTTTCGGACGCATCGGGGTGAAATTGGGCGCTGACCAATGATATGAGTGCATTTACTGCTGTTAATGACTTGTGTACCCAGGTGTGTCGCTTTTCGACCAGGGTATACCCTGTTGTGTTGTATGTCCTGCTGCTGTTGTTGTTGTTTCTGCAACAGAGGCACGAACAGGAGCTACGATAGCCGTTGAGCTTCCTTCTGAGTTAATTGGTTGTTCGTTGTCCATTCTAATTTCATTTGTGCCTTTGTTCTGGGGTTGCTGTTGTCAACAGAGGCACGAACAGGAGGTATGACGGCCGTTGCGGAGGCGCCCCCGCCGGGGAAGCTCACCCCGGAGCAGCACGTCCGAATCCAGCAGGTGAGCGGAGAATTTTTCTTGTGTGTGTCTCGTGTTTTTTATGTTGTTGTCCGTGTCCAACCATGCGCTAGCCACCCCTCCTGCGTAGTGTATCAGGTCTACACATGCCCATCCGTGTGCACGATCCAATCGAAAAAGTTAGTCTTGCTTTTCATCGACCCAACTGTACACATGCAAAAACATGTACACAAAACACGGACAAGCACGTTCTTGCTTCGTGCCTCTCGCCCGTACCTGTTCCTTTTTTTTCGGGGGGGGGGG